TTAACTTTCTATGTGGGATTGTGACACCACATTGTGTCTCAATCATGTTTCATTTTCAAACTTCAATTTTTGTGCATGGTCTTTCCTATTTTATCTTTTCCTATTTTATCTTTTCCCAATTGCTTTTTTTTTTTAATCTTTTTTCAACGGAGCAGGAGCCGAAGCCAAAGCCCAAGTAGAAAAATGTTCTTAAAATTCATATGATAGCAGCATTGCATTTGCTAATACTTTTTATTTAGTACATAAGCCAACAGGTTATAACAGGTACAAGAAAACATATAATATAGCACATGCAGTCAGAACTAAAAAAAGGTATTAAATTCTAGAAATTCCGTGAAGCATTAGGTTGAGGAAAGACGCCTTCGTTGAGTCTCTTGTATGAAATCATGTAGTGCTGGCTTATATATGCAGCCTAGAAATAATCTCACGACTTGCTGCTGTTATTATTCGCTTTTATATATAACCTGATCAGACACGGGGGAATTGCATCAATGTCAAATATGTGTATTAATTAAAGACAATAATATACATAAAAGCAAGTGATGGAATGTTTTGCAGTGCGTTACCTTACTTATCAGAATTATAACCGATTGGCTTAGAAGGCAATTGGTGGTGGGAGTGAGGGCAAGGGTGGGAGTGAGGGCAAGGGTGGGAGCTGTGGAGATGGAGGGGGCGGGGGTTTGCATGTAAATGGGGGAGGTGCTGGAGATGGAGATGGGGGTGGTGTAGGTGGTGGAGATGGAGGAGACCATGGTGGTGGAGATGGAGGAGAGGAGGATGGTGGAGATGGAGGAGGGGAGGGTGGTGGAGATGGAGGAGACCATGGTGGTGGAGATGGAGGAGAGGATGATGGTGGAGATGGAGGAGGGGAGGGTGGTGGAGATGGAGGAGACCATGGTGGAGGAGATGGAGGAGGGGAGGGTGGTCGAGATGGAGGAGACCATGGTGGTGGAGATGGAGGAGACGAGGGTGGTGGAGGAGGTGGTGGAGATGGAGGTGGTGGTGAAGATAGGGGTGGTGGAGGAGGTGGTGGAGATGGAGGTGGTGGTGAAGATAGGGGTGGTGGAGGAGGTGGAGATGGGGGTGGTGGAGGAGGTGGTGATTTTTGCCAAAATGGCGGAGGGGGTGGTGGAGATGGAGGTGGTGGTGGAGGTGGAGATGGGGGTGGTGGTGGAGGTGGAGATGGAAATATTGGAAGAGGAGGAATTCGAAAAGGAGGAAGTGTAAGAGGAGGCGGATTCACGTTAATGCCTATGCCGAGTTGTGCAGCTACATTGTTGAATATCAAGCACAATGCCAATGCATAGCCTAGTGAAGGCCAACAATTGGCCATTTTTCTTTGCAAGAACTAGCAATGTGAAGCCCCTCAAGTTAAGAACCCTTTTTCCTTACTTGTCAAGTATAATTGGGGTTGGGGATGGCTTAGGGAGAACATAATGCTGCAGTTTATATAGCACTTACTCATCCCTTAACAATAAAATTCTATTGATTTCTACATGTACTTGAGTAATTATTCATTAATATGATTTGTAGAATAAATTTGGATTTTCAATGTTTGGCAGCTACAATTTGCGTATTAGATCAACTTTATAATTAAGCTTTCTGACTTTTTATTTTGACAAGTCTGGAATTTTGATTGAGAAAGCAGTTAATTATTAAAAGAAAGGTAGTTTTTGGAGAAACCACACATGCGAAATTTAATTAGCTATATTTTCGTGGAACTTCTTTTATAATTTGGTAGGTTTCACCTTATAAATTTTCCCTTTGATAATGCCTTACATAGATATATTTTATATAGCACGTTAATTAAATTTATTATTATTAATTAATTTTGAATATATTTTTATTAATTTTAATTAATATATTATATATTTTTGGATAATAAAAGCTAAAAAAACTTATATAGTTATGGTTAACGTCACAACAAAGCAAAATACTCTCAAATGAAGTCTAAATGATAGATATAATATTGTTTGCTGCCATTTGCACCAAATTATAATAATAATAAAAGGTAATAGTAGATTATGTGCCCCATGGATGGCTCAATTGATTAAGAATTGAGAATTTTAAGTTTAAAATCTCAATTTTAAACCTTTGATCAATAATGAAGGATTTGAAAAAGTGAAAAAAATAGAAAAATATTTTCTATTGTATAACCCATTATTAGATATACCAATTTTTTTTTATTTGGTTGTCACTAATAGTTGTAATAATTAGCGGATAGTTGATAGAACTATTAATATTAGTTTTAAAATTAACTTGATTTTTCCAAACAACCTAATATGCTTTTTAAGTTGAAAAAAAAAAGCCATACGATTCCTTGGGAGATGGTTATAGTAGTTAAAAGGTTAAATTTTTATGTTAAAAATTTTAAACTCAAGTTTTGGAATGAGTAGAGAGGGGTTTGAGAAGGGGGTATTTTTTAATTATATAACTTATTATTTGACATAAAAAAAAGTTATAAACTTAAAATCTCAGAAAATTAAATACACCAATAGCATATTAAATTTATGGAAAATGATGTGTGCACACCCAGATTCAACATCCGGGTATGCATACTCCGCATAAAAAAAAATGGGTTTAAGTACCATTTTGGTCCCTCAACTTTTCACTTTGGTACCAAAATTGTCCCTCAGCTTTAAAAAGCACCAAAATTATCCTCAAACTTTCATTTTTGGTACCAAAATGATCCTTCCGTCAGTTAAATGACAGGTGGCCCGTTAAAATGCCACAAAATCATTAGACTTTTTGAATCTTAATGATGTGTAAATCCAGTTATGAAAATTTTGCTTCCATGGCATTTTTTTTGTACACGTGGCATTGTTTTTTACACATCATATTATCACTTTTTTAAACTTTTCCTTTTAATGGGGCCCACGTGACACTTTTTTAACTTTTCTTATTCTTTCTCTATCTCCTCTCTTCCCCTCTTCTTTTTCCTCTCACAGATCTGGGTTTGATCAAACCCAGATCTGGGTTCTCTGGCTTCTTATCGTCTTCTCCAACATGTTGCATGTTGTTTTTGTGTTCGGAAGCCCAAGGCTTCCGAGTTTTGTTGCTTGAGCCGCCGGGTTCTCCGGCCGCTCAAGCCTGATGGAGCCGGCCTGCTCCCTGCTCCGATGACCCAATGAGGTTGTTTTATGTTTGTTTTCTTTGTTTCCTATTTCTATGTGTTGCCCGCTTGCCTGCAGGTTTCACGACTCCTTGCTCCTTCACACAAATCTACCGAGCTACACGCTGGAATTCCCAGATCTGGCGACCGTCGCCCAGATCTGGTCTTCGCCTGCACAGTTTCTCGCCTCGACGTCCTTGAGTCTAGATGCAACCTCTAGATGGGTAGATAGAAGGGTGTCTAGCTGGATCGCTCGACCGAAGGCAACCTTGGTCCTTCGTGGTTTCAGATTATTTTCTATTTTCTCTTCTTTGCTGCTGCATTGTCGTCTTCTCCGTCGTCTTCATTGTAGTCATCTTCGCCGTCGTTGACCTCCGCCGTCGTTGACCTCTACAATTCTTCCGCAACAGAAGCAGGAGTCACCTTGGTGTACTCCAAGAAGTTCTGGATTTCTTCAAACGAAACCCAGATCTGGAGAGGAAGAAGAAGAGGGGAAGAGAGGAGTGAAAAAGAATAAGAAAAATTAAAAAAAGTCATGTGGGCCCCATTAAAAGGAAAAGTTAAAAAGGTGATAATATGATGCGTAAAAAAATGCCACGTGTACAAAAAAATGCCATGGAAGCAAAATTTTCATAACTGGATTTACACGTCATTAAGATTCAAAAAGTCTAATGATTTTGTGGCATTTTAACGGGCCACCTGTCATTTAACTGACGGAAGGACCATTTTGGTACCGAAAATGAAAGTCTGAGGATAATTTTGGTGCTTTTTAAAGCTGAAGGACAATTTTGGTACCAAAGTGAAAAGTTGAGGGATCAAAATGGTACTTAAACCAAAAAAATGGAGAACACCTGATCCATTTTTTTTTTTATGTGGAGTATACACACCCGGATGTTGAATCTAGGTATGCACCAATTATGGTCTTAAATTTATATACAAAAGGTAGAAGAAATCAAAACATCTTATCAATTAAAATGTCAGAAAATGATAATAGAAAAACTAAAATATCTTTAATGAATCAATATGCATAAAACATTCAATTTAAGGATATTTGAATAATTTCACATAAGTCTTAACATTTAAAATGATAAGGCATCCTAATTTTTAATTTTCTCAAAAGTAGACTTAGAATAATAGATTTTTTTATTTTATCTTCAAATAAAAAATTTAGGAACAATTTCCTCTTCTTCTTTTTTTTTACCTATTTTATCCTTACAAAAGAAATAAAAATAAATAAACCTTTTTATAATATGATAGTTAAAGTAGGAAGAAAATTATTTATCTCTATTAAAATATGAAAAAAGCTAATATTATTTTAAGATAAATTCTAAATTAAAAAATGTTAATTATTCTATAACAGAAAGAGTAATAAAAATCAGTTTTCTTTTCTCTCCATCAACCATTGAAGTATTAACCCCCCTTTGTAAAATAACCGTCTTTTTTTTTTTTTTTTTTCAAATTAAGGACTTGGGGCAATATTTATATTTATTTATAGTATCCTTAAAAAATAAAAGATAAAAAAAAATATTTTTTGTGATTGAATGATTAATTAAAGTGAATGGATAATAATTAGGTTAAATTAAGAAAAATATTTATCTAACTTACAAAATTTAAAAAAATAATTTAAAATGCCAACGACCTAGGTGGTTCAGTGGTTATCTCTTTCTACTGAAAGTAAGAACTCCTGAGTTTAAATCGCATGGCATACAAGTGGAGTAAGATAAGAGATGAGAGATGGTTATCTCCTATTGTGCAACTAAGATAAAAATTTTTTTTTAAAATAAACTCAACATTAAAAAAATAACAATTATTTTAGAACAAGAAAGTAAAATAATTAATATAAAATTAAAACAGTGTTAACCCATTAAAATTGGCTCAACTGATAAAAAGAACGGGAAATAAAATGTGAGGTTTAATTAAATCTTTTCACTATAGTACTTAGAATCATTTACTTATCTGCTCAAAATAATTATTGTTTTTTTTT